ACTCCTAAACCCCTAAACCCTAAACCCTAAACTCAAACCCTAAACTCCTAAACCCTAAACCCTAAACCCTAAACCCTAAACCCTAAACCCTAAACCCTAAACCCTAAACCCTAAAACCCTAAACCCTAAACCCTAAACCCTAAACCCTAAAACCCTAAACCCTAAACCCTAAACCCTAAACCCTAAACCCTAAACCCTAAACCCTAAACCCTAAACCCTAAACCCTAAACCCTAAACCCTAAAACCCTAAACCCTAAACCCTAAACCCTAAACCCTAAACCCTAAACCCTAAACCCTAAACCCTAAAACCCTAAACCCTAAAACCCTAAACCCTAAACCCTAAACCCTAAACCCTAAACCCTAAACCCTAAACCCTAAACCCTAAACCCTAAACCCTAAACCCTAAACCCTAAACCCTAAACCCTAAACCCTAAAACCCTAAAACCCTAAACCCTAAAACCCTAAACCCTAAACCCTAAACCCTAAACCCTAAACCCTAAACCCTAAACCCTAAACCCTAAACCCTAAACCCTAAACCCTAAACCCTAAAACCTAAACCCTAAACCCTAAACCCTAAACCCTAAACCCTAAACCCTAAACCCTAAAACCCTAAACCCTAAACCCTAAACCCTAAACCCTAAACCCTAAACCCTAAACCCTAAACCCTAAACCCTAAACCCTAAACCCTAAACCCTAAACCCTAAACCCTAAACCCTAAACCCTAAACCCTAAACCCTAAACCCTAAACCTTAAACCCTAAACCCTAAACCCTAAACCCTAAACCCTAAACCCTAAACCCTAAACCCTAAACCCTAAACCCTAAACCCTAAACCCTAAACCCTAAACCCTAAACCCTAAACCCTAAACCCTAACCCTAAACCCTAAACCCTAAACCCTAAACCCTAAACCCTAAACCCTAAACCCTAAACCCTAAACCCTAAACCCTAAACCCTAAACCCTAAACCCTAAACCCTAAACCCCCTAAACCCTAAACCCTAAACCCTAAACCCTAAACCCTAAACCCTAAACCCTAAACCCTAAACCCTAAACCCTAAACCCTAAACCCTTAAACCCTAAACCCTAAACCCTAAACCCTAAACCCTAAACCCTAAACCCTAAACCCTAAACCCTAAACCCTAAACCCTAAACCCTAAACCCTAAACCCTAAACCCTAAACCCTAAACCCTAAACCCTAAACCCTAAACCCTAAACCCCCTAAACCCTAAACCCTAAACCCTAAACCCTAAACCCTAAACCCTAAACCCTAAACCCTAAACCCTAAACCCTAAACCCTAAACCCTAAACCCTAAACCCTAAACCCTAAACCCTAAACCCTAAACCCTAAACCCTAAACCCTAAACCCTAAACCCTAAACCCTAAACCCTAAACCCTAAACCCTAAACCCTAAACCCTAAACCCTAAACCCTAAACCCTAAACCCTAAACCCTAAACCCTAAACCCTAAACCCTAAACCCTAACCCTAAACCCTAAACCCCCTAAACCCTAAACCCTAAACCCTAAACCCTAAACCCTAAACCCTAAACCCTAAACCCTAAACCCTAAACCCTAAACCCTAAACCCTAAACCCTAAACCCTAAACCCTAAACCCTAAACCCTAAACCCTAAACCCTAAACCCTAAACCCTAAAACCCTAAACCCTAAACCCTAAACCCTAAACCCTAAACCCTAAACCCTAAACCCTAAACCCTAAACCCTAAACCCTAAACCCTAAACCCTAAACCCTAAACCCTAAACCCTAAACCCTAAACCCTAAACCCTAAACCCTAAACCCTAAACCCTAAACCCTAAACCCTAAACCCTAAACCCTAAACCCTAAACCCTAAACCCTAAACCCTAAACCCTAAACCCTAAACCCTAAACCCTAAACCCTAAACCCTAAACCCTAAACCCTAAACCCTAAACCCTAAACCCTAAACCCTAAACCCTAAACCCTAAACCCTAAAACCCTAAACCCTAAACCCTAAACCCTAAACCCTAAACCCTAAACCCTAAACCCTAAACCCTAAACCCTAAACCCTACCCTAAACCCTAAACCCTAAACCCTAAACCCTAAACCCTAAACCCTAAACCCTAAACCCTAAACCCTAAACCCTAAACCCTAAACCCTAAACCCTAAACCCTAAACCCTAAACCCTAAACCCTAAAACCCTAAACCCTAAACCCTAAACCCTAAACCCTAAACCCTAAACCCTAAACCCTAAACCCTAAACCCTAAACCCTAAACCCTAAACCCTAAACCCTAAACCCTAGTGTCTCTCCACCACCCAGCTCCTCCCCGCCCATTTGTTCTCCGCCACGTAGCAGGAGTCCTTCACCTCTTACACCCCACCAATCGAGGTCTACCCCTTTCTCTGAGGGTATAGGCTTGGGCACTACCCATCCCCCTCAGATCCCCGTCGAGGATCTACTAGGAGGGCCTACCCCCAGCAGACCTACTATTACATCTTACGTAGCCCCCCCCTTTTGATTCTTATACCCTCCCCTCCTATACTCGATCCACCACCACGAGGACAGTGCTTGACGAACAGTCAAGCACCGCACCCATCCTCCTCATCTAGTGTTCATGATACTAGTGGCCACACAACTAGTACCCATGAGAATGGCGGATTTGAGACTGACCTTGAAGCTACCTACCTAGAGGAGGGATATCAGATAGAGGCTAGGACCACACGACTCACTCGACGCTCACCTTACTCCACAAGATCTATGACTCGTGGGGCCACTCACTAAATCATGATACCTACCATCATATAGATTTGTCAGGATATAGGTAACCTCGAAACCCAATTCTATATAGCTAGCCTTATCAGACATTATTGACTAGTTATAGTAGGGCTCATTGAGACCATGATATCATCAGATTGTATCCAACCCTTACTTACACGATTAGGTATGGATCATTTTCACTCCAACCACACAAATCATATTTAGCTCTTTTGGACTAGACCATACTCTATGGAGTTGCTAGTCGAGGGATCCCAACATATCATTATGGCAGTTCGAGATCACACCCCGATCCTCATACTCCCTAGACATAGTATGAGCACCCATAGACCCCCTTCAGGTTTCAGATCATGTGGCTCCAACATGAAGACTTTCAGAGTTTCGTACGGAATCACTGGTACAGACATATCTCAGATTCTCCTATGAAGAAACCTTAGCTATAGACTAAGGAATCTCAAACTCCACCTTAAATGGTGGAACTGACATATCTATAGAAATGTCCTTACCCAAGTTGATGCATTGCAAAAAGAGTTAGCGGAGGTTGAAAGACTACTCTAAGCTCAATATTCAGATGCCGCCTGGGAAAAGAGTAGAGTGAGCGACCAGCTTGATGAGGTTGTGTGATGAAAGGAGTTATTCTATCTCCAGAAATCTCGCATCCAGTGGTTACAAGAGAGTGATAGAAACACTTGTTTCTTTCATGCCTCAGTCGCACACTGCTCACATTCAGATTATACCTCTCTTCTACAGACATATATATAATCAAGACCTTTCCCACATGCAGGAGAAAGGGGTTGAGTACTTTCGTACTCTCTTAACCTCTCTATGCTCACTTTGATCCCATCATTAGTCACTCACCATGAGAGCTCTCTCACGATGGTCATACCCACGGGAGAAGAGATCAAAGATGTAGTTTTCTCTATGAGCAGACATCGTGCACCCAGGCCCAATGATTTCCCAGCTGATTTTTACATTTCATGCTGGGATATCGTTGGCACTGATCTCATCCAGGTTATCAAGAAAATCTTTCGTCATAAAGTCTTTACACGGAGTTGGAAGGCCACCTTCTTTGCACTTATACCAAAGGTGACTACCCCAACCTCATTTAGAAACTTTCGACCTATCAGTTCATGTAACGTGTGTTATAAAGTTGTATCTAAGACCGTTACATATAGATTGAGTAGTTTTCTTGATAGACTTATATCTCCAAAGCAGTGTGGATTTTTTAAGGGACGGTACATTCACGATATCATCATGCTAGTACATGAACTATCACAGTCCCTTGACCATGACTCTCGAGGCTCCAACATCATCATTAAATTAGACATTAAGAAGGCCTTTAATAGGATAAAGTGGAGTTTCCACACTAAGGTTCTTAGATGCTTTGGGTTCACCGACGACTTCATTGACTTAGTCGATGCATACGTTACGGAGAATCATTTCTCCTTATTGCTGAATAGTAGCTCCACACCATCCTTCATGGCAACGAGAGGTCTACGACAAGGCGATCCACTATCACCCACCCTCTTAATCTTGGTCGAAGAAGTCCTCCGTCGATCCCTCACCCGAGCGATCAATCAAGGACTTATTCAACCATACTACTCAAAGAGAAATTGTCCGATCATCTCACACTCCCTCTTTGCTGATGATGCGATACTCTTTCTCAATAGATGTGAGACATTCATTAGAGCGCTCATGAGTATTATCTCAAGATATGAGCGAGCTAAAGGTCAAATGTCTCGAAGAGTAGCTTCATGGTAGGGCCTTCTCTCCCCATAGGGACTATACGACGCATCCAGGGCCTGACAGGGTTCTCTCATTGACACTTACCTTTTGACTATCTTGGATGTCTTATCTTCCTCAGCCGTAGGCTCATATACTATTTTGACGTCCTAGTCAGCTGCTTGGTGAAAACTAGCAGGATAGAAGCTACAGCTTTTATCGCTTGGAGGACAGATCCAGTTGATACGCCATGTCGTCATAAACATGCCATTACACCTTTTGGCAGTTCATGGCGTAGCAGACACCATCTTACAGACTATAAGACAGATATGCACATCCTTTCTTTGGGTTGGACAACTTGAGGGACCTCGTCACCAACGCCGAGTTTCTTGGGCGAAAGCTTGTCGACATACGGATGAGGGTGGCATAGGTATTAGGCGCCCTCAAGATGTACTCAACATGCTTCAAAAAAAAACTCGTTTGGAGGATGAGGACCACACCATCGGTGCTAGGCTCCTATGTGTCGGCCAAATATGGCACGTGGGCTTGACAGCCGGCCGACATCAAAAGAGTCAAACGATGGGAAGACTGGCATAGACATTGGTTGGAGAAGGTGTCCCTCATTCGTTGGTGAGTGGGGCAAGGCGCGCTCAGTGCCTGGTACGACACTTGGCTAGAAGATATACCATTGGCCAGTTTTGCTACTGTCACATCCTCTTGGCCTCGTTTGACGGTAGCCCAGGTTCTCCAAAGAGATACTCGTCTACTTATTGAGAGGCATAGACTATCGTCGGACTTGTTACCAGCCATCTACATGACTGAGACGACTCCTACTGAGGACCAAGCCATCTGGACACTTACCATAGATGTCAGTTTCTCTAGTAGCTCTTCTTGGTAGTACTTTAGAAACTGCTCCCCAAAGATATTTTGGGGAAATCTCATATCGCTGTCAAGTGTTGGTGTCAACTCCTAGCAAATTGGCTTCCAACGCTCTCGTACAGACCTACGAGACCACCACTAGAGGTCTTTAGGAGAATCATTAACTCACCGACGAGTGTCAAGGTTAGTTCATTTGTAAATATAGAAGGGACGCAACTGATCTCGATTTGCAGGCCAAGTGATGCATGCCACAGAAATTATGAGGCACGAAACACAATGAGTTCGGAGTACTCATTCCATATTGCGAAAAAAATGAAAACATTTACGTTCTGTTTGTAAAGCTTTAAGGCTATGGGGACTCCATATCATCCCTACATAAACCCAGACTACTATCTGATCTGTTAGATGGACACCACCGAGTGTTGGACGGTGGAAACTCAATATCGATGGAGCATCTCAAAGTAACCCAGGACGATCTAGGGGAGGAGGTATCCTATGTGATAGTACAGGATGCATTCTCTTTGCCTTCTTTGTGAGGCTATACGAACTAACACTGTAGCAGAGGCTATGGCAATACGGGATGGTTTGCTTCTTTGTGAGGAGCAAAATATTACTGATATTGTCTTAAAATCTGACTCCAGAGTATTAGTGGATATGTTACATGCAGACTCTTGTATTCATTGGAGGCTCAACAATATCTGGACAGACATCATGAGATGTCGAGGGCGCATCACAGCCATCACGCATCAGTTCTGAGAAGAGAATCAAACGGCCGACGCCCTTGCAACGCATGGAGTCAGATTGCGTCGGAGGACAGTCTTCTCTTCTTTGCAGGACATGCCCCTCAAAGCCTGAGGTGCTCATAGACTTTGCGACTCAGCATACCCTCTCTACGCATACACTGCACTCCACTACCAGCCCCTCCACGGCAGTGCCGTATTGCTTGGAGGAGACCAGGGGCGGCTACCATTGGCCGCTAAAGACCACAACGGAGATACATGTAGGTGTTTCCTTTGTTTCGGATTTCAGGTCTATCACACGTACCACTGATGTGGTACATCATTATGCCGCTCGTCACGTACCACTCATGTGGAACGCACCTTGGCAATCAGCTCAGGACTGAAGACAGATACCATGAAGACATACTGCTTACACTTGTTGTGGCAAATTCCCCCCTCATCTAATCAACTAGAAATAATAATAATTTATTATAAAAAAAAAGACCCTAAACCCAATTAGTACCATCCGCCAGCTTGAACCGATAAGAAGGTCAGGACATCCCTCTCATCCTACATAGACCTGACAGATTTCATTCAAACCATTATTTCAGGCTAGTACCCCACCAATAGGTTCTCACAAGACACCTCTACCTACGCCAGTGACACATCTCAACCCTCGAGCGTCAACGTCCACCTGTGAAAGGAGGAAGACGATAGCAAGAGCCTCACCTCTTGTGCCAGTACGCATAGGAAAGATAGACCAGACATCAAAAGCTATTGATACTTAAAGAACTTTCATTGAGGAGGCTGATAGTGTTCCCACTATAGGGAATGATAATAGCCTACGAGTTCGACGACGCTCTCATAAAAGGGGAACTACTACTACTATTTTACAATCGACCAGCCTCTCTCCACCCACTAGACCTCCTAAACCTATTACTTTTAAACCGCCAGCTAGCTCCACTTTACCTATTACACCAGCTCTAGTCACCTGTCCTCCATCATCTATTCGCAACCCATTATCTAGCACCGCACCCTCCTACACCACACCTTGCCCATCCTCTCAGCCCCCTCCATCACCTGATGGGGTCCTTGATATGACCCCAATAAGCATCTCCCTATCAGACGTTCCATGCCTTTCTCCTTCTGACCATCTTTTTCTTCAACTTCACCCTCCGGATCCTCTTTTGACCAGACCTCTAGAGACCTTAGATAAAGCTTGACGACTGATGAAACTTCAGTGAGCCCTAGTAGGGGAGAATGCTCAACAAATCGTCAAGTCATCTCCCTATCATTCTCAGGGGCAGATACTAGTGGGCATTCTACATCGAGTGCAGAGGACTCTAGATCTGACACCTCATTAGACTATTCTATTGAGGGCTTTGGCCCTGAAAGAGGGTACGATGTCTAGTACAATACGGAGTTAGTTGATAGAGCCTCACGACAACCTTTTCCCTACGTCACGATGTCTAAGGCTCGTGTCAGTAGATAGTTCACATGATATAGGGTTGGGAAACCTCGAACTGTCAAGTGCTGACTATGCCAAGTCGGGTTTAGTGAACCAATGATCCCATTGGATCATATCTATCCACTGCTTAGATGCTTAAGTATAAATAACTTCCACTCTAGTCCTACAAATCATATCTGGTTGTTCTGGAAGATACCTTACAGTCTACGGTTGCTCATTGAGGGGACACAATATGTCATGATGACGGTACTTCGCTCTGGCCAAGAGTTTATATTCTATGTTGTTTATACTTCACTTAGACACAAAGACCCTCAGACTCTATGAGAAGATTTAGTATGATATATGCGGGATTATTCCATACTACTTAATTCTCTTTGGTTCATAGCCAAAGATTTCAATTCCAAACGTACAGTCACTGAACGTCAAGGGGAACGGATCCTTTGAGACCGTCATATAGAGATGTTCAATGATTTTCTTTTTCGTGTGACCCTCATCGAGCCTCTTACTTTTGGCGAGGTCTAGACAAGGTGCAATGAGAGACAAGGAGGTGCAAGGATATATGAACGCATATACCGCTGCTTCCCTAATGATATTGCATTAGTGCAATGTCACGCTCTTACCCCTAGACCCCTTTTTAGGCTTCCAGAGCCCCGTGCGTCGTAATTCATATGGAGATATCTCTTACTCTCCTAACGAGAACCTCAGTTACAAACTTAGGAATCTGAAACTTCACCTTTTAATAGGATTCTTACGTAGAGGTTTACCTTTTAATTATCTTAGATGTCCTATCTTCTTTGGACGCACTCGGATTTATTATTTTGATGCCCTTCTATGCAAGCTGCGGAAGAAACTTGCCAGATGGAGACTTAAGCTTCTAACCCCAGGAGGTCGCATCCAATTGATACGCCATTTCTTCACAAGTATGCCATTACAGCTACTAGCAGTACATAAGGTACAGACACCGTTCTACGATCTCTGAGGTGGATATGTATCTCTTTACTGTGGGATGGCCAGCTCGATAGGCCTCATTGTCAACAGACAAAGAGGGTAGACAAGGGATTAGACGTGTTTAAGACATACTCAACGTACTTCAAAAGAAACTCATATGGTGGATGAGGACGACGACATCAATCTTAGAGACTTTTGTGTCTGCCAAATATGGCAACTGGCCTAACCAACTGGAAGACAAGGCACTATCAGTGCTTGGTAAGATATTTGGCTTGTGAGTACCATTTTGGCTATTAATCCGGTGGCCCGTGAGACAAGGCTCTATCAGTGCTTGGTAAGATATTTGGCTTGTGGGTACCATTTTGGCCTTCTTTACCTCCTTTACCTCCTTCACACTGTCTTGGCCCTGACTCAGGGTCGCACAACTTCTCGAGCGGCATGAACTCCCCCCAAGATTTATTATCACAGATCTCACTGATAAAGCTGAGTCCTAAGGATTATGAGGGCATTTAGACTCTCACCCATGATGGGAGTTTCTCCTGTAGTTCTTCTTCGAACTACTTTAGAAATAAATCCCTAAAAAAGATTTGCGGAAATCTTATTTGGCATCATATTATCATACCTCGAATCTCTTTTTTCATGTGGAAACTACTGCACCGACGCCTCTCTACTGATCAGCATATGGCCATCAGTAGACACCACTCCAAGAAACAAAACTATGGATAATTTATTTTTCCATAGTGTTGCTGTAACGGAGTTTGGACCCAACTCTTAAGAAATTGATCCTCCATCTCTCACACCCCTAGAGATCTTCAGGATAGTCTTTGATTCACCGCAGAGCTTTAGGACTAGCCACTACCTATGTATCTCCATAGCATACATCCTCTAATGTGACTGCGGAGATTATGTGGAGACTATGAGGTACATCACACAGTAACTTCGGAGTACCCATCCTCTAATGTCGCCTGTCGTGACACGCTTGGCCTCTATCTCCATAGAATTGACCATCTCTCTTTCTCTATTTCTTTCTCTCTCTCTCTCTCTCTTTCTCCAAAAAAAGAAATAAAAGAGGTAGCCTATTTCCCTTCCGATAATCACTAACCTAAATCTCCAAAGAAAATTACCTTTCTACACCAAACTATGGGCATTAGTCGAGGGTGACAAAAGAGGCCCTTAAAAAAAAACAGAAAAAAAAGAGAGAGAGAACGAAGTGAAAAGAAAAGAGTTAGAAAGAGAGGGCGAGTCATTCCTTGTGGGGTGAAAAGCCCCCTACCCACTTAGAAGAAGTACGGCAAGAGGGACTTGATGCGTGCAACATTAGGAACACAAGTTCATATTTGGACTTATTGTCATGCTCCAGCATAATTCTGTCCTCCTGAGTGCCCCAACAACTCTTTTCTCACCACTTACTACAGCAAATTCTTCTCTTGTAGGAACACCTCATGATGCACAACACGGACCTACTATTGTTGAACAGATTTTTCAACCTCATGAACAAAATGGCTCTTACAACCCAATGCAAATCAACCACCTTCATCAAACATTTTGAGCGGAGTGAAGTCTTTCTCCACTATTGTCACAACCTCTGTTCAAAATAGGTCTATAATCGTCCATCTCATCCTCGCCCTTTGTGTGAATGAGATCCCACTCATATAAATTTCTAGAATTAAATCAATTTTTTGCAAACAATCCTTCTTGGAAACAAGTTTCTGGGTCTATTACTCAGTACCTCTTCTGTTGGGATAAACAGCGGTCGGCGACAAAGGATCTCCTCATCTTAGCCCCCTGCTTGCCATTGAGAAACTAGAGTATGTACCCCCAAATAAAACGAAAAAAACCATCCCCTTTAATACATGCATGTATCAAATTGAACCATCTCCTCTTGCACCAATTTTTTTCTACAACCTGCTATATGAAAAAACCAACCTGCTTTTTCTATGTCTATTTTAAGGATAATATTTCAACCTAGGATCCGTGCATCGCTGGATTGAGTCATCTCCTGTACCAGGGCAACATTGTCCTGTATTTGCCACCCCTCTACAAATGCCCCTGTTCTAGATTTAAGGTTGAGGGGAAGATCTCTTTCAGTCTTCCACCGATTAACCTTCAAATTATCTTGTAGAAGACATTACACACGCTAATTAGCCGAAAATCCTCAGATGGGTTTTTGTTCCTCCTCAATGGGTTTTCTTCCTCCTCAATCCTCACTCTAATGTTCCCAAAGACCTCTTTATTCCACCACCTCAGATCTTGCTAAATAATTCTAATTCAGTACGAAAAGTTTACAAGGGGGAAACTAGACATTGTGCCTCCCCACCTTTGTTCTACGAACTCAAAGAACCTTCATGTCTTACGCATATGTTTTGAAAGTCAAATGGAACTCCACCATTCCTTTTCCTTTCAATGAAATCAATTATCAGGGGGAATGATCAGCACTTGGAAGTAACTAAGCCTCTATCCAGTCTTTGCTACATACGTGCATGACCTTTGAGTCTGTTGCACAAGGACATCATGTTCCCTAGGTAACTGGGTACAATGAAACCTTTCACGTCAATGAATTCACTGAATTAATCTCTATGGGATCAAATACCTCTATTCCCCCCAATCTTCTCGGAACAGTATCTAATAATATTCAAACTAATGTCCTACCCCCTTACAGTTCAATACTAAGTCTCCTATGGGTATGACTATTTCCTACCCTACACAGTTCGTTACTAACGTCCTACACATCCTCAGTCTTCTCACGTACCCAGTCCGATTGTCCTCAAAACCTCCACCTCTTGGACTCTTATTCCAACTACCCTTCCAATCCCTCCTCCTCCTTACACCACTGCAGCTCTAATTCCTCTGCTCCTTTTCTCTCCCTGCTCAGAACCATTCCCTTCTCAGCCTGTCCAACCAACCCTTTCCCTTGCTCGTTACTTCTTCCCCCTGAAACTTTCCTAGACGGTTAGACCTCCACAATTCTTCTTTTATTCCTACCCCTTTGAAATTTTTCCCTGGTCACGACTCCATCCCTCTCATCCTCTGATGTGGCCTCCTGCTGAAG